GGGTGTTCGGGTTTAGGGTTTTAGGGTTGTAGGGTTTAGGGTATATGGGCTTCGGGCTTTAGGGTTTTAGGACTTAGGATTTAAGGGTTTGGATTTAGGGTTCAGGGTTTGAGGGTTCAGGGTTTTGACAGCTTTTGCAAAGGCTCAACTTGGAGGTATTAGGATTTAGGGTTTAGGTTTTAGGTTTTAGGGTTTCAGGGTTTCGGTCTAACTACTAGAAAGGTACAATAAGCGGTCCTACTATAATTTGAGGATTTCATCTGGTTTTGTCTGTTTATGGCTTGGGTCATGACGTTTTGTGCCGGGTTGGGGTTGCCGGGTGTCTCGGGTGCGAGGCTTCGGACCCGTGGGACACGCAGCGAAACTTGCCTGATGCCCAGGCCCCATACTACTAGGGTTGAGGGGTTTAGGGTTTAGGGTATTGATAACAACAGGAACATTAATGAGAAGCAGAATGAGAACAAGAAGCAGAAGATTGGCAATAACAATAGTAGCAAGAGTAGTGGTGTTGATAAAAACTGTTCTGGGAATCTGGTTTGGGATCCACATCTCTTCAATATTGCTCTCTTCTTGGTCTCAGCTTTGCAGTCACTGGCTCGTACACCCATACCCCAAAACTGGGTTTAGGGTTTTGTGGTTTAGGGTTTAGGGTTTAGGAATTCGACAAAGCTTTCCTGAATAGTCCACGCCCCTAGCGCCAGTTTTGAAGAAAAGCCGGAAGCCTTGAGGAAGGCAGGGGTCCGTGACCGCTTCATCCGGAACTCCCCAGGCACTCCCAAACCCCAGGGTTTAGGGTTTAGGGTTTAGGGTTTAGGGTTTAGGGCACTCCAAAACAATATAGAGGCCTTAATAAATGCCTATGCTATTTTGGGGGTTCCTTACTATAATTCTAGCATAATGCACCCCGAAACCCTGTTCTAACTATTAAGGCCCCTATATGAGAGGATCATGGGGCTTAGTACTGAGGGGTCAAAATTATGAATAAGGTAACTATAGTTATAACTAGTTATAACTCCAAGTAAGGTACTTATTACCTTACCTACTATGTCTCATGATCCTCCAAGTAGTTTCAGGAAGGAAATGTAGGAACCTGACAAAACATACCCTGCTCCTATAACCCCCAAATGTTAGGCCCCAGATGAAGAACCCGTATAAAGACCCAGGGTTTCTTAATCAGGTTCCTATATCAGCTTACATCAGAGAGGACTCTTTATTACAACAGCAGTATAATATACTTCAAAACCCTATTATAGTTATCAAGGCCCCAATGTTGACCCCTTATAGTATTCCTTGTAGGACTTCTTTAAGGACCCTGTTCAAAGGAACCCTATTCTGACTAAGGCCTCTGCAGTAAATATAGGGGCCTACATAACTACCTTTGCCATTTTGGGGGTTTAGGGTTTAGGGTTTAGGGTTTAGGGTTTAGGGTTTAGGGTTTATATTTATGGTACAATATACCCCAAAACCCTACTCTTATTATTAAGGCGTCTACATTACATGTGTACGTGCCATTTGCTCGATAGTCCCTATAGACATGGGCTATGACTATAATGTGCCCCCAGCAAGCACTGCTCTCACTATCCAGGCCCTATGTTCCGGCTCGGGTCCCTCCGTGGTTAGGTTCACTGCATTAATTACTCCGACATGGAATATGAACCAACAACTCTTTCGGTGTTCATATGGGAGTTTCCGAAAAAAAGGGGTACCTTATTTTAAGGGTCCTACCATAAGGATCCTACTATTCAGGGTACTATATTAGGGTCCCTATTTTTTGGAAATCCCATATGGTCCTTTGGGCCCAAGCTATCTGTAAGACAGGAGCCCTTCGAGAAGTACACCTTCTTTGCCCAGTTGGGACGAGATGTGCAGGAGATTGGAGTCGGATATCCGGCTCTTTTCTTATCCTACTGGGTGAAGAACTCACTCTAAAGCTCCAAAGCAGGGCCCCAAAGCTCCAAGTGGACTACAACTCACATTGCAGAGAGAGGAGGAGAAGGACATGTAGGTCAATAGATGGAGTCGCAGTGCTGTTCCAACTCAATATGTTTGGGTTTGAACCCTAAACCCTAAACCCCAACTAGTACGAGTTACCACTCCGGCCCAACGCCCCTCTCTGTAGACACATTTATGGCATTAGATGAACTCCGTCACATTGTGTTTCTTATCCGTAGCGTCGCACTTGGCTGAGCAACTGTCCGGGCTTCTCTCTGATTCAAGTGTCAGGCTTCAAAGTTCAAGCTTTGTTTAGGGTTTAGGGTTTAGGGTTTAGGGTTTAGGGTTTAGGGTTTAGGGTTCAGGGTTCAGGGTTCCGGGTTGCGAGTTTGGGACGGGTTTCAGACGTCATACAAGCAAAGGCCAAGTCTTTGCCACTGCCTAAACCACTGCCTGACTCGGCACCACCCGAAAAAGGCTCCCGAGAGTCCGAAACCAGAAACCCGAAACCCAAAACCCAAAACCCAAAACCCTAAACCCTAAACCCTAAACCCTAAACCAACCAACCAACCTCAACCTATCAATCCTAAGCTCCAAGCCCCTCAACGAGCCTCCACCCTACACCCAACTCCAGCCCAAAGCCCAATGAGTGGGAAGATGGAGCAACTTGGAGCTTTTGGGCAGTACCTATAGTCTCCATTGGAGTTCCTTTTTTGGTTAACCAATTTTATGGTTAGGATCCTATAATATAAATTTGGTTAACCAAGAAAAGGAACTACAATGGACACTATAGGTAAGCTCCGGCTTTTTCCTTGTAGCCTCGAGTGCTGGAGGTTCACTTCTGGAATCAGGAGCAACCCCAAACCCTAAACCCTAAACCCTAAACCCTAAACCCTAAACCCTAAACCCTAAACCCTAAACCTAAACCCCCCCCCCAATAAAAAAAACAATCAACTCTAAACGTGAAGCCCTATTTAAGGCTTTAGCCCGAAGGCCTGAGCGTGGGAACCGTGTTTAGAGGTCTTTGTGCTGAGGATCCTCTTAACACTAGGGTTTAGGGTTTAGGGTTTAGGGTTTAGGGTTTAGGGTTTAGGGTTTAGGGTTTAGGGTTTAGGGTTTTGGTTGTTGTTGTAGTTTTGGGAGGATGATGAGATGATGATGACTGTGGTCCTTTTATGCTTGCAAGGCTCTCGAATGGGGTCCCTCATTTTTGGGACTCGGAGTGCCGCCCTTTAGCTGTTGACATGGATGTAATATGCGGGCTTAAATCAATACTACTGCAGGGTTCCCAAATATAGTTAGTCCATAATATACCCCGAAGCCCTATTCTATTAAGCACAGTAGACCCATGATCAGCAAGCGGATTCTATTAGGGATGCTCATAGAGGGGCCTGGTCCTCTTGCCCATGAATCAGGGGCTCAGAGGCTGGGGTTGTAAAATCTATGGGTAGAAGTCCTTTCATGGGTGCTTTAAGTAGGGTAGGTGAAGCTGACCGAATTGCTGCCCTAAACCCTGAACCCTAAACCCTAAACCCTCAACCCTCAACCCTAAACCCTAAACCCTAAACCCTAAGCCCTACACTCGAAACCCTACGCTAGGGAAACCCTCGACGCAGAACCCTGCCTCCCCACCCTCAGAGCCCTTCAAGCCTAAAGCCTAAACCTCAACCCCAAATAACCTACCTTTTTAAGGGTTTAGGGTTTAGGGTTTAAGGAAATCATATTAAGGAACCCTGAAAAGGTAGGTTCTTCAGGGTCCAGGAATGCCCTAAGCCTCACCGGTTCTTGAAGAGAAGCGGCGAGCCCGCTGGCAAAAAAGGGTTTAGGGTTGAGGTTTTTTAGGGTGTTTAGGATATTTTGGGGTTTAGGGTCTTTTTTGGTGGTTTTTTGGCTATTATAGGGTTTAGGGTTGCATGTCAAGTCAACCTTCAAGCATGCTAATGAACTTGGCGGCTTCGAAAGAACGGCCTGCCCCAAGTTGAGTCTCACCACTAGATGCCTCCTTATTATAACTATAGTATAATATACCCCCAAACCCTGTTCTAATTAATAAGGCCCCTACGTTACCAATACTAGGGTTCCTTATCGTAACTATACTATAAAGGGCGCGTCGTACTGCTTAACCGTATCCCTGCGGGTCCAAAGTATCCAATACTGACCTAAACCCTAAACCCTAAACCCTAAACCCTAAAGCCTAAAGCCCTAAACCCTAAACCCTGACTCTACAACTCTGGGCCCCAATAAATGGGCTTGAATGATTAGAATAGGGTTATTTTGTATATTCTGAATTAGGGTCCCTTTTCAGGCTCCCAATCAATATATATATATATATATATATGTATATATATATATATAGAGAGAGAGAGAGAGATAGTACGGCACCCATATAAAAAAAAGGACCCTAAAAGGGACCTTATCTTAGAGAACTACCCATATGGACGACACGCAGATGTTCTTGCGAGTGCCCTAAATCCCAGTCCCCATAGCCCAGTCGGAGTGAAGAGCGCTCCGACTGAAGTCGACGCAGCCAGAGATCCCAATACCCCTGACTTTGGGAATATTTTTTTCTCATACAAGGGGCTTTAGTATTATAATTTAAAGTCGATTCCTTAATTAAGGGGCATTGGGTTCTCTGGGCAGGTGGCATGGGCGCAGACAAGACTCAAAAGCACCCTCAGGAGTTTAGGGTTTAGGGGTTAAGGTTTAGGGTTGAGGCTCCCAAGTTATATCCTGTAACCATTGGTGATGTTGTAGGGTTAACCAGTATAACGGCTTCCGGTAGAGCCTAATTTGGGCGGAGGATTCAGTGCGTTACTGGAATGTTGGGGCTAACTAGCAATACAGAACTCAGGGTTTGCCAGCTTGATGCTGACACTTGAAGCATCAGGGGACCTAGAAAGTGGGTTATGTCAAGGTTCGAATCGTGTTCCGTGAGGGTTTCATGAACAAGGATTTAGTAGGACATGCGTTAGGAGACGACAGCCCAACTGTCAGCACGTGTCCTCACATATCAATTAAAATTGGAGTGCCAGTCACTATAGCCACCGAGCCTCCAAGCAGGGTGTCCTGCATCATAAGCATCTCTAGGAAGCGTGCTTCCTTTCGGGCTTTAGGGTTGGCGAGGACTTTGAGAATGTAGCGTGTCCTACAGGTATGAGTTGAATGTTAAATTGCGGCAGTGACATATACGACTCTTGCGAGCCAGGCTCGCATCCCTAGTAGCGAAACTGCTCACGCCTACGGAATCATAGTTTCGGGACGAAGGTTTGACATGCTGTTATGACTGGTCGTTTCAGTTTGCCAGCTACTTGTGGCCAATATTGCCAGATGGGGCTATGGTTACCTGGAGCACCTGTCGTTCCAGGAATCTGCAGCATGCCAAGCTCGATGTAAAGCACTCTAACTGAGATTTCCATAAGTGATCGTCTCACAGTACGTTCGGAGCTCAATTGAAATCAGCTGGAACTAGCATTTCATCCTGTGCACACTTGTTGAAACGGGGATCATAAGCAACCTACGACAAGTGGGACCAATATTGTGCGTCAGGTTTCGGAAATATCTAATACGTACAGTATACTAAAGATACCCCAGACTCCCATTCTGAGGGCTCCACAATTATGTCGAGGTCCACAGGCTGTACGGTGGTATTGCTGTTTGCCCTCTCACCCAGCTCCGGAAATGGCGAGCGCGATACATGAAGATGCATCGAAATATCAAGGACACCGACTATCACACGGCATCCACCGTAGCACTGATGTACTGTAGAAGCACGGTGCTGAAGTTTCTAGCTCAGAATCCACCTGTAAATCCAAAAGGTATATGTTTGATTCACTGCATGGATACTTTAAAACACCAACTTTCGCCCGAAATCCGCAGACGCCAACGTCAAAAGAACGGCTTCTGGGCCAGCTTTAACGGCTTCCGTCCAAAACCGGGGTTCAGTAGATCGAAGACCCCACCCTTGATGTTAAAAAAACTAGTGTAGACTTCCTGATTCATCAATCCACTCCGTTTAAGAGGCTCTGTACCTAAACCCTAAACCCTAAAAGCCCTAAACCCTAAACCCTTTAGCAGGCGTTGTAATCGGGATCCTCAGATTAGGGCCCTTGACCGTTTTAGAGTTTAGGGTTTAACTCCAAATACCCTACTGTAGGGGCCTAAATAGCTACCTATACTATTTTGGGCGGGGGCTTCCTTATTATAACTATAGTAAAATGGCCCCAAAAGCCCGATTCTAATTATTAAGGCCCCTATATTACCGCTTTAAGGACTTATATATAAAGAGTTCATAATAAGGAACCCTAAAGGCAGGTTCTTTATAGGTGCCAGGTATGGTTTAGGGTCTAGGATCTTCGCAAGATCTGCTTGCCAATCCCCATGGCCGACGAAGATGTCGCCATGCAGGAGGGTTTCGGGTTTAGGGTTTAGGGCCCTTTCCAGGGCTTAAGCCCTAAACTGGGCTTTGGAGTACCACACTTTAATACATTTTTTGGGGACCTGTTCCTTAAAGGAACCATGGTGAAATAACAATCTATACATTTTTCTCCCTGGTTACTTCAAAGCCCAGTAAACCCTAAACCCTAAATCCTAAGATTAAAGCAAAACAGCGGCAACACAGGGGCCTGAATTGTCCTTTACCCCGAGAACCCATTACCCCTTAAGTAAGGAATATACCTTTAAGGAAGGGTTCCTTAAAGGGATCTGTAAGGGTTAAGGGTTTAGGGTTTAGGGTTTAGGGTTAAGGGTTTAGGGGAATTAAGGAATATACTTAAGATCATCATGTTAAGGCCGTTTTAATTTGAGGTCTATTCCCTAACTAAGCGTCATTGGGTTCTCTGGGGGGCCCACGTACCCGACTGGTATAATGTAGGGGCCTTAAATAGTTACTAATACTTCTTTGGGGGGGTCCTCATTATAATTAAAGTATGGTGGGCCCCAAAGCCCTATTCTAATTATCCTTTAAGGCCGAAAAGTATGCACGACTTGTGTACATGGAC